CGAAAAACGTATACCTATATCACAATACCCTAACTTACTCTATGTATCTGATAAAAGTCATAATTAAACCAACTGACTTTCATTGGAAAATGAAATTGAAAATACCATTAACAATTGGTAGTATACCGATTATAGATAGTATGGCTGCAGCGGCAGGACTGCCAAGCCTATTACAAACACAATATGCCACAAGTCGTGGCTACTATAGTGGGCGAAGGCTGCAGAATATAGCAACTATGCGACAAAATGCAGGCGAAGGGGAACATGGCGTGGCAGATGTTGAAGGGGGAGCAGAGTATGGCGGAAATTTGGAAGTGGCGGGCGAGAGTGAAGGTGGAACAACAACGGTGCCAGCACTGCTTATAACCGATGGTGATAATCCGCCCGACTACAAACTTATGAGTGAGTTTAGTGCTGTGAAATAGCCAGATTTATCTGTGGACTTTTTTTAATATTCTTGTTTCATTTTAATTTTTTTCTTTTTTTTTCAGTGCCACCTTCCTACGAGGATGCCATGGCGTTAAGTGATAAATTCTGTGATGACAGCGAATACTTGCAAAATGTCAGCCTGAGTAGCATTGTCTCGAATGGCACGACAGACTCCTTCAAGCCGCGCTATCCCGTCTACTATGAATATGAGACGCCAATCATACCGCCCGGTAGTGATGATTCTACCTCCGATATTTAGAATTGAGCGATTGGAGTACAAACAAAAACCTCTTTTCAGTTCAGGCCATAATTAGTAGCGAAAATTTTAAAATTTTTTTTACGTCAATGTTTTTATTGTGACTCAAAAATTAGCTATCGTATTTGGGGAATGTTTGAATGACAATTTATATACTTACATATGAATCTTTAATTTTATTAAGCAATTTTAAAACGTTTTCATAATTTCTTCTGCTCTTTATACAATTATTTTATTTTTTTCAATGTTCAAAAATAAAAAATTGCACGACATTGTAGATTGGAAATCTTTGGAAAATCTTAGTCTCTAAGCCAAATTAATTTTTAACAAAGGTGGTCAATTTTGTTTTTAACAATTTTGAATGCTTATGTTAAATTAAATAAGTGTGTAAGTTTTATAAAAAAAAAAAAAAATCTAATCAACGCACAAAAAATGCTTCTGTTCTTGTCACACAAAGCCTGCTGTCTGCTGCCTGCCCGCTTGATAAACAAATGCTTGCCAAAATTATAAATAATAGACATTAAAATTCCTAAGCAATCAAAGAAACAAATCCACAAATTAACACTCGTACAATCAAAAATATGGATTAAACTTAACATATAAAACCTTAAAACTTAAAATAGATAAAACTCAGTTACTTATATGTATGTAAGTGGATAATAACATATATACATATGTATGTATGAACATATGTACACAAATATTCCGAAGGAAAAAACAATTAAATGCAGTTACCTTCTGCCAGTCTAGTTAATCTTTATGTTTTCCTTGTCGCTGATCACTAAATATTCCGGCCCAAGCAGAGGTCACATTTTGAGCTTCAGAAGAAAAAATGGCTTCAACCTCCACAATATCTTTAGACAACCTCCAAAAATCACTTCAACCAAAGAGCAAACAGGTATAACGCTACGAAAAATGTTACTCCGACCAGGGATCGTGTAAAAACTCCCAAGAGTAGTTAGCATTCTGAATTTCCCTCATTTTTTTGTTGGACCTAACAGAATACATTCGTTAAAAAAAACACCACTAACAGGGCAATTCTGGCAACTGTCATGAAAGCTCTTTTCTGACTTTTGATAGAAAAATTGAACGACCTGCTAATGAAGAGTTTTATCTGTTTGTCTTTAGCAATAAATTTTCTAAAAATCAAATAATAAAAAAAAATAGATATATATTTTTTTTTTCTTATTAGAACAATAAAATATAGAATTTTAATGAAAATTAAATTTACAAAAGAAAAAAGTATCAAAAAAGTTGCTAAAAATTTAACGAAATTAAAAAAATATATTTCTTTGAACAATGAAATGAAAAAAATTAATATAAAAAATAACATAATGTAATTTAAAAAATAAAAGAAAATTTTATTAAAAAAACAAAAAAAAATTATATAAGTTCCTAAAAGTTACGTGGAATTAAAAGAAAGATATTTTTCTAACAAAAAAAAATATCTAAATATATCAAAATAAAATTAAGTTAAAAAAGTATCTTTCATTTTAAAATCTAAGAATTAAGTAAAAAAATAAAAAAGTAAAATAAATTTATATGATAAAAATTCAAAAGAACATTTTTTTTGTATAAAACAATACAATCTTGAAATTAAAAGCAAATTATTTAAAAAAAGAAAAAAAAATCCGCTGCCCGGGGACTTGACTTCAGATCTCTGGAATGACATGGCACTCGGCCATTACAATTGTTGGAGCAGCGTGAGCCAAATAGAGCTTTTCACCATGAAAGTTGCCAAGGAAGCTTTATTCTATAATATTTTCGTGCCAGAATAAACAAAATCTTTCAAACTACCTTGCCCACTGTATATCAAACTAACCACTATTAAGTTGTCGTGTCTGTTCTAAAGCCTCATATTTAATCTGTAAGGGCGGGACAGAAGCAGAAAATCTAATTCACTTCTTGGAAAATGGGGTTCGATGACAGTCAAGCTAACCAATAAGCATTCACACAAGATGTGTGCAAATAAATATACCAATGGACGAAAATATACAGCTATATACATATGGAGATCTTATATTCAATACCCGCTATCGGCGCTTTTCACAAAAACGAGATCTTGATATAAAACTCCACCCAAGACTTAACTGTCATCGGTGATATTTATCTTGACAAAAGAAGTTATTATTAAATTGCACAGTCCTAATTACCAGCAGTGATGACAGGTAAATCCCAGATGGGTTCTAACATCACAAAGTTGTTTTTGTGAAAATCGCAGATAACTAGATGGTATTGAATATAGGCGCTCGAACTACTTTCTGAGATTGAAAGTTAGATGAGTTTTGTCTCCCTTCAGCTCCCAGAAGCTTTCCTGCCCTTGCTGAGCGAAATATTCATCCAGTTTCGAACGCTCGATTCGGCAGACGGAATTGCCGAAAGAGGTAGTACTATGACTGGTTGCGACCACAGAAATATCTGGTCTAAGCCTGCTTAGATATCTCATTACCAGGAGCTCTCTAATGACCTGATACTCAGACTAAAAGAAGTTCGTTATATTCACCAACGTATATAAGTCAAAATTTGCATTGTCGCACTTGTTTTGAAATGGCTAGGACCTAAATGAAGCAATTCGCTTAGAAAACAACACTTACAAGGTATACAAAATAACCCAAACAAAATTAAAAAATTATTTAAAATT